CCAACAGTATCCCATCTTCCTGCACATTTCGCAACCTAGAGAACGGCACCACGTAGCCGCAATCAATGAGGGTCTCAACCGAATGACTACCAGGAAGTACTGCACATGTGGACGCGAACGCCTACGAGAAACACGGAACACCCTCTCTGGCTCTTCAACCAAAGTGCAGTCATGATAACTGACGAGGATTTTCCAACTTCGCTACGAATACCATCAAACACCAAAGACCGTCAAGAAAGCAGTTGTCAGCGCTGTGATGCGGATTGCTACCCTCCTAGCGCTCGTCCCGGCCTGTAGCCTCGCTAGGAAATGAGTTCCCGTTTTAGCACCGCGATGCAAGTACCCCCCCTCCCCCCACGCCCCTTCCGACGTGCTGCGGGGTTCCCCCTCACGCCCCTTCCGGCGCGCCACGGGGCTGCTTCCATTTTCTCCCCCCCTCACGCCCCGTCATACGCAGCTGTCATCCGTACGCAAGGAAGTAAGCACAAGATGCCGAACACCCTTAGCAGGATGCAGCGCACCCGTCATGCGACTCGCCGAATATCTCACGTCGCTTCGCGCTTGATGTGAGAGCCTGGTCCGGTGAGAACCCGGCGTGCTCCGTCCCGGCTTTGTAGGGATGCGAGGTCAATGGTCTAACGACTACGGCATGCACGACTATGAGTACACCCCCCCCTCACGCCCCGTCCGACGCGCCATGGGGCCTTAGATATATATATATATATATTTCCCCCTTCGCGCCCCGTCCGGCGCGCTACGGGGCTGCTAATGTTTACCTCCCCCCCACGCCCTCCCGACGCGCTGTGGGACTGCATTGAATGTTGCCCTCCCGCGCCCCTCCCGTCGCGGCTGCGAGCACACAGCCCTCCCGCCGTGTTATGTAGTTGTTGCCCTCCCTCACGCCTCCCGTCGCGGCTGTGGGCACACGACCATATGGCCGTGTTCTGTGATCATTGCCCCCCCACGCTCCTTCCGTCGCGGCTATGGGCCTCATTTATTGTTTGGGGATGATGCCCTCCCCCACGCTCCTGGCTGCGCGGCACGGGGCTGTTTTGCTTGTTGCCCTCCCGCGCCCCTCCCGTCGCGGCTATGGGCGCACGGCCATGTCACCGTACTCGCTGAATGTTGGCCCCCCACGTCCCTTCCGTCGCGGCTATGGGCACATGGCCATCTCGCCGTATTCTCTGAATATTGCCCCCCCACGCCCCTCCCGTCGCGGCTATGGGCACATGGCCTTGCGGCCGGCTTTCTGTGTCTTGACCCTTCCACGCTGCTGTAATGGTGCCATCTTCACCATCTCCTGCTGCTGCTGCTGCTGTGTGTGGATGGTGCGCGCGCAGTGGCCTGCGCTGGTTGTTTTGATGGCACACCGACGGCGTCGCGGGGATGCATGATGCCCCAGCTCTCGAGACGCAAGTACTTTCCCGCGGTCAACAGGCACACTTGGTGTGCCGTCTGCGGCACCCCCTCCAGCACCGCACAGCTCTTCTCGACGTGATGAGTACGTTGCTCTGACCCTTCGGCCAGTGCCTCGAGCGGCAGCTGCATCTCTACCATCGCTGCCTATCTTGAGGTATTCGGTGTTCTGGAATCTACCAAACCCACCGTTAGCAGGGACCTGAAATGCCCACACCGGTTCGCCTTCCGCAACCGGTCTACTGCTGATGGTCTCTTCTGCAGCCGTGTAGTCTATGTAAGCGCCCACCGCAGCAGGCTGCTCTTGGGATGATGACCCCATGACCTCCCCGCTGCCCGGTCCAATGCCCGGGTCCACTCCAGCAGGGATCCTTGGCAGTACCAGCCTGGCTCCCGGTCTGGTGCTTCTTCCCCCGTGCTGTGCGGGCGGCGTGATTCCGTCGTTGTGCGGCCCCTCTTCCAGCAGACCGCGGGCAGACGTAGTGCCCATGATGACAGCGCCCACCCCAGCGCCGCCGGACTCCCCCTCATTCTCAAACTTTCCGAGGGCGCCGCGGTGAGGCCCTGGCAGCTGCTGTGCCTCGTCCGTCAGGCCTGTAACTTTTCTCTCTAGGTTGTCAACTCTGCCCTGCGTACTAGTGGTGACGTCGGCAGCCTCTGCTGCAACATCGGCGCCATTCATCTCCAGCACGGGTTCCTTCGAGGGATACACTCTAGAGTGTTCGTATTCCCTGTATCTGTGTTGAAGATGATGGTATCACTTGTATTAAGGACAGCAGACACGAACAGGACGCGGCGGGAGAGAGAGAGTGCCGCGGCACAGCAAGCACTCCCGCAGGTCCGAGCCCCGTGGATCAACCATGAAACCAACCCAGGGGACTATCAATTCCAATCTGCGTAGCCACTTCCTACAGTCCCGTTCGAATATTCTCATCCGCTCATGCACACACGAACAGCAGATACGCGTAACTGTTCCCGACACAATCTTTGGAGGTCCGGATCCCACTGGCAGAGAGCGAACAATGCTCGACTACATACTACGTATTCGAATCCCCGTGGTACCGGCACCCGCCCTCCGCTATTTTTCTGTCTTTTGATGGACCATGTGTGTGTTTTAATGTTGCAGTAGCATCGACGGCGCTAACCGGCTGACCAATGCAAAAACGTCAGTCGCAGTGCGGTTAAAAACACAAAACACTTTTTTAATGTCATTGACTGGAACCCCGTGAGGGGGCCGCATTAGGGAGGCTAAGCAACTCTCCGGGTGCAAGACAGAAAACTGCACGCGTCTCCCAACGCTGCTACCTTGCACTCGAGTTCGTTTGGAGTGCTTTCACCATCATCCTCCTTGCTCTCACCACCATCATTCTTTCTGGTGAAGACTTCCCTCGAGAGGCCCCTTGAGGGGATTTCTTCAATCATCGACTGCGGTTGCTACCGGGCGGGAGCCGTGAAAAAGACAGGGGTCGTTTTCTGCGGATCGCGTCCAATCTGCAGTACAGATAATCTAGTGTCACGAGGGGGTTGCGATCGGGCTCCAGCCAGTCTGAAACCGCGAACCTCACGACAATCAATCCATAAGAACCGCTCCGGATTTCCAACTGGACAGCACTCCAAACATTTTCTTTCAACAAGTGTTGAAGACAACGGGTTCCAGGAAGTATGTAGTACTGTAGGACGAACGTGGGAAAATAGTGGGCGACGTGCGATTTTTCTTTCAATGCGTTCGGAGCCACACGTCAACCCCAGCTCCCCCGTGGCCTGGCAGGAAATAAATAAAGCTGAGCACGTCATCGGTTCAACGCACAAAAAGCTCGGGTTTCGTAGCGACGTGAGGAAGGATGCCGGACGAAGAACCATGGGAACCTTTGACCTTTGTCGATTACCTCATGCTGGGGATGGTGGGTACGTTCCAAGCCGTTGCCCTGGGCATGTGCATCCATCTGATTTGGTGGCGGAAGTGGCCACCATACGTCACCAAAAACGTCGATATCGTCATCATCATGGTGAGTAGGAATATGTAACAACGCGCGCGTGTTTGTTCGTTGTTGTTGGTGGTGGTGGTGGTGGTGGTGTTGGTTGTTGGTGGTGGTAGTGGTGGTAGTGGTGTTGATTTCAAAAAATGTTTGAAGGCCTTGAAGAAGATTTTGACATTTTGGTGTCGATGCTGGTGCTGGTGTTGGTGTCCTCGTTCTTGCTGTTGCTGTTGCTGTTGCTGTTGTTGGCGTTGTTGGTGGTGGTGGTGGTGCTGCTGCTGCTGGTACGGCGACGGCGGCGATGGCTGCCTTGCGAACATGTGAATGGAGCTCTTCGCTCAAGTGGTCCTATATAGAGATTGAATGCACTCGCCTAGCCGCTCGGCATGCCTTGTCGGGTGCTTTGGTGTTTTCTGATAATCTACACAGCCATGCGCTACGACTTGCACAGATCTCGTGCTGGTGGGGGACTCACTAGTGTGAAGTATGGCCGTAAGCAGTGCCGCTGCCGCTAGGGTGTTACCTTGCTGGTTCGTCTTGACGCAGCAGCTGTTGAGGTCTGTGCTTGCTTCAAGGGTGAGAGTGAAAAGCGTGGTCAGTGCTTCCCCTCTCTCGACCCCTTTCTCTTGGCCTCACTCTTCGCCGTATATCTGTCTCCCTCCCCCCCTCCCTCCCGTCCGTGTACGCCTTTGTCCCTCTTTCTCGTTCGATCTATCTGCCCCCCCCGGCGCTCACTGTATCGCTGTCTCCACCCTCGTCTCTTGTATCTACGTGTAGACGCTCGCGGGGTTCGCGTGGACGTTTGCGTCTGCTCTGCAGAGCGGCCTAATCCCTCGGAGCGAAGGCGACTTCCTGGCCATCTGCTACGTTGATGTGAGCCTCTCTCCTCCCCCCCCTCGGGGCTCCTCACGGATGATATTGGGATGCTGAGTATGCTGAACACCAGGGAGGAGACACCGCACTTTGGATATGCCCTTCTCATAGTTCTTCCCACTTAGTTGCCGATCACAGCGTGATATGTTAGCGTTTAAAGTCGAGATCCATGGTCCTGCAGGAGATTTGCGCAGACAATCAGGAGTGGATTGTCATTTGTCACCCTTCCTGTCCGTGTCTTCATCTTACCCTCCCCTCCCGCCCGTAACGCCGCCGTTTGCAATGCAGACGACCTTGTCGTGGTCGACGCTAGCAGTGCACATCATGTCGTTTGCCGTTCGGGTTTACCGGATGTGGAGGATTTTGATCAAGCATGACGACAGCATGTGGCCCGCAAAGTGAGTTGTCCCCCTGGGGGTTGTGGCCTTTTTCGATTGTCGCTCTTTGTCTTGGTCTCCTTTTCGGCGCCCATGAAGTATCGTATCTTCCCCATGCTCCGGGGTCTGGGAACGACTCATGGTCCGTTCCGCGGTTCGGCCCACCGTCCGGTTTGAGGTACTTCATGGAATGTGTCATGAGCCAGACATTGAACCGGGTCATGGTCCGTGCCATGACACCAGTCCACTTTGGGGTCCCAATACGTCCCACGGTCCGGTTAGTGGCACAGCATGGAGGGTCTAATGAGCCGCTTTGGAACATTATGGACCACAATGGACCATTTCATGGACCGGATTATGGCGACGGAAGCGGCTCATGGACCGGTCCGAGAAATGTCCAAATATGGTGCATGACCCGTAACGCTCGATCCATCCCCCACCCGTCAGGTACCAGGTCATGCTGATGTCGAGTATCAGCCTGGGCCCTCTGCTGGCGGCCGTACTTGTCCCAGATCTCCATTTCTTCGACGAGACTGTCAATTCTTGCAACACAACGACGGATTCGAGGAACGTGGTTTTGGCGATGAATGCCCTGGGGTTCTACCTCATCTGCTATCTTTGGTGAGGCGCAACGGGTGGCTTTGCGGTGATGTCAAGTAAGGCGGCGGAGGGTATGCTTCAGATTTAAGGGGGTGTTGTTGTTGGTGGTGACGTGGTGATCGTCTTCGTCCTTGTTGGTGTTTGGGATGTTGTTAGTGGTGGTGGTGATGGTCGCCTCCGTAGTGTTGCCATTGTTGTTGTTGCAGTTGGAGTTGGAGATTCATTATTTGCTGTTCTTGGCGTTCCATCAACAGGCCTCCTGTGTCCTATTCCGTCGATGCTGTACCGAAACAGGTTCGTGTGCACCCGTCAGCTGAGGTGGGTCCGGAAGCAGTTCAACGAGTACGAGGCCATGAAGTGGACCCTGTCTTGCCTGACTTTGCTCCTGTTCAGCTACGCGGCCGTGGTGGCCATAATCCTCAACAACCGACATGTTCTCGTCAGAAGAGTGGCCATAGTGTGTGAGTCGCTGTCTTCCTTCGTGTTCCTGTTGTTGTTTGATGTGTGCTGCCATTTCCTTCTCTTGAGGTGACCATTGTTGGTGAGGTTGTGGTTTAGGAACATGGGCCGGCGGCTAGTTGAAGATGACTGGCCTGATTGAATCTTCCTCGTCCAACGCAAACGTTAGCGATGAAGGAAGTAGCGATCACGATGCTGCCGTGGCGGTAAACCGCTTGCATTACTACTGGCGTGTGCTGCTATGTCCTTCTGCTGCTAGCGGTGACCACTGTTCGAGATGGTTGTGGTGGGCATTCGGTTCGCTGCCTGGTTTTAGGATATTGGGGGACGATGCACCAAAGGTCATGACCTGAAGCCGTCGTCCCCATTGAGAAATGTATCAGCGATGAAGACGTTGACAGATCGCGAGGAAATGATGTGATAGCCCCTTTATCGCTTGCGTCCCTCTACCCCTTTGCTCCGGCCATGATACGATCCAGACCCGGTGCTGTCGACTTACACGCTGCTAATGGGCTCCATAGGGGAGCCTGTGGTGAAGAAGTTGACGGGAGACGAGGACTACCTGTGGTCCTTTACCAAGGGATTCTCGGAGATGCCTTCGCCCGCGCAGGTTCGGGGATTATCGCTCACGCCTATTGTAGCATGCCTTCAGTACATTGTTTGCTGGGTCGTTGTTGCTGCTGGTTGCATGTGCTTGTCAGCAAATGATTGTGCATCCGCGGCTATGGCGACCCATGAGTGACATGTCTGTAACGGGTTGGGCTTGTGGTGCCTGCGGCTGTGAGCATGATCCGCCCGCGGCTGGCAGTCGTTTTTCCGGCTCGGTAGACGTGACCCCCTTGGTTTGAGCACGCGGACTACAGCCGGAATCATTTTCACTCGCGGGCAGGAGCACTAGCACAAAAAGCGTGGACGCCCACGCTTTTGCCCTTACGAATTATCTCGAGTTCGTATTCCTATGGTGGCTTTCAAGAAACTTGCGGTTTGGATGGTAGGGCTCCATCAATCAGCCTAACGGCATTTGTCGAGCTATTTTTTTAGTGTACTCTGGCCGATTCTTGCATTCCCCTCCAGTATTTCACTCTTTTATCCCAGGCCTAACGAATGCCACAGGTTTCGTTCTGCACTGTATTGAGGGAGGGAGGGATCCACGCAAGCTCCCCCCCAAAAAGAATCCAAAGCCTGTAGTACGCACGCACTACAGAGGCATCAGTTGCTCATTCAACCGATACCAACTGTCACAAATTCCCGAGGTGTACAACAACATGTATCGTGTTTACCATATTTTGGTATATGTTCTATTGGGTTCGCAATCGCGCACGCACACCATTTCAGCTCAAGGCTAGCTTGGCGGAGCAGCTGTCCGTAGAGCAACTTCGGGTCGAGTTTCGGAGATACATCGAGACGAAGGTGGCCCAAGAGCTGGTGGACTTTTACCTCGACTCATTAGACAGGGAGGAGATAAAGGGCTACTTCGACAGACAGGTGAAGAAGCGGCAGTAAGAAG